GCATGTACCTGGAGATGGCTTGGGGGAGACCAAAGCAGTTCAAGGGGGAGAGAGATGAACAGAAGTTTTCTTCTGATGGCTCAAAGCCTCCAGGCTGGGAGTTAAATTCCTCCAAGCAGAGGACAAAGGAGCCTGAGTGGTTTGCAAGCAGACTTCCCTTGGCAGTGATAATAATCACCTTCCGCCTGTCATAAAAGTGCTGCTGAATGCGCCTTTCTTTCCAGGGCTTTCTTGTGTGTGTTTGTCTTGGTATATGTGGGGAAGATGACAACAGACATAAGCATTATCCAATTACGGGCTGGCTGGTGGCTTGGCGCTGGTGCTGTGCCGGCAGTGACCTTGCGGCTTGAGTGAAAAGGCTGATGCAGCATGGAGGGAGCAGGTCGGAGCTCTGGGGAGAGAGGCGGCGTGCTGTGCCAGTCGGTCGGGTTCTCCTTCCTGAGTGTAGTAATGGCAGGGCCAGGCCTCACGTCACTGAATGTCTCAGGTAGAGAAGGTGTCACAGTAGTGGGAAATACATCCAGACACCTCTCCTTCCCAGCCTCCAGAACAAGGACAGAACGGACTCTGGGGATGTCCAAGAGGCATGATGTCTCTTTGGGTTCCTCTCTATACTCTGTCCCTTGCGCTGGGGCTGGATTCACAATCTACCCCTGTAGATCAGTAGCAGCACATTGGGGCTGGTAGGGAATGGGGACCCAGTGCATGTTACAAAGTCCTGACATGACATAGCCTCTTTGGTTTGTCCCACATAGGAGATGGGCCATCATGTTTTGTGCCAGGTTCAGTTCCTTGGTGAATTTCTTGTCTGGTCTGAACAGCCAGGATACCTGGAGCCTTCTTACCAGCTGGGGATGGAAGCCAATGTTCCCTCCAATCTTTTCCATCCATGTGTGGAATAATTCTTTGTATGTGCACCAAGGCTTGTGTGAATGTGCACTACTAATAGAAGCACAATACTTATCTGTGGGCGCTCTGCTAATCAGCTGGGCAGCATATGAAATTTTCATAAGCAGTCGCACGAGTGCTCAGCTTACAGGGAACACTGATGATAGCATGTGTGGTTTTGATCCACCAAGGCCAGCAAAGAGTCTGGCATGCGGCATGAATGCTCTCTGCTAAAGGGCATAGACTCCAATCGGAGGGTGATTGGGCACTTACTTGGTCTTCAAGTCTTTTAGCTGTTCTGAACGGCAGTAGTTAGACTATTTCTGGATTTAATTCAAACCATCTGTTCTTCATCCAGGCCCTGTGCTATCTGTGGGACAGCGTTTGTGATCTTGAGGTTAATCAGAAAGCTTCAGCTGATAAAATGTCTTCTTTTGCCAGTGAGTATGTCTCCAATCTGTCTCAGAACTCCTTTCAAATCAAACCGTGGGCAGATTTCGGAAAGAACGTCTGCTAGTTCTTCATTGTTACAGTAGAATGTGGATGCAAAGCCACATGGCCTCAGCTTTTAAATCTGCTGATGCAAGAATTCCTCTTGTCTTATTTTTGCCAAGAGTTTGGGGGAAAAAATCCTTACTGTAAATGTAATGCTGCCGCTTACGGGTTTAGCCCTGCTTCACGCTGAAGAGGAGCGGTCACCAGGATTCTATGTGAGTGAGAGCTATCTCCAGCCCACAAACAACATCCAGCGACAGTGCCCCTTTCAGGATCAGACTCTGTTACTGTAGCAGAGTCCAACCCTTTGTCAGAAAGTCAGCCCTCTTCTTGGGGCCTGATCCTAGCAAGAGCTGAGCGCAGCCTCAATGGCCGCTAATTTCTAAAGATAGCTGGAGACGTTTTCAGATTCTGAATTTTAAAATATTGATGTCGATTGTATTCCATGATACGGGGTGCTGGCTGATTTAACAGTCAGGCAGTGTCCCATCTTTCCAGTGGGGTAAAAGGAGGAAGGAAACTCTATGTCAGACCGCTTTCTGCTGCTAAAGTGATGTCAAGTGTAAGACTAAGGTAAATGAGACGCAAGGTTTATAGATTCTAAGCTTTGGAGGAAAGTGCTGCCAGATATAAGGTTTTAACCACATTTGCCATATTGGCACCCTTTGTAGTGCCCATAACCTGCAAAGGAGAAGAGCCATTTTTTTGCTTTTGTCTTTGACCAAATATTTTGAGAGCCATGTCACGCATAAAGCTCTGGGCTGGTGCAGGGGAGGGGGGCAGAGGAGGGGGATCGGGGTCTGGGTGCAGGATGGGGTTCTGACCTGGGGCACGGGTTCGGGATGTGGGAAGGGGTGCGAGGTGCAGGATCTGGCTGGAAGGTGCTTACCACAGGCAGCTCCAGCTGGTGGCAGAGCAGGGCTCAGGCAGGCTGCCTGCACGCCGGGGCCCTACACCGCTCCTGGAAGCAGCCAGCTGCTGGCACATGTCTGCACGCCCCTTGGGGAAAAGGAGTTTCCGTGCTCAGCCCACTCCTGCAAGCACTATGCCTGCAGTTCCCGTTGGCTGGGCCAATGGGAGCTGGAAGACGGTGCTGAGGGCGGGAGCAGTATGTGGAGTTGCCTCCTGCCCCGGCCAGGGGCATGCAGCTAGCAGGCTGTGGGAGCAGCGTGGGGCCATGGCACACAGGCAGCCTGCCTGAGCCCGGTTGCACCCCTGGACTTTCAGTTTCTTCAGAAAGTCTGTTTTTTCACAAAACAGGTGCCCGCAAGGAGGCAGCCAAAGAGCCGCACGTGGCTCCGGAGCTGCAGGCTGCTGTCCCCTGGGCTAGCCACCCAAGTGTTGTCTGGGCTTATCCTTGGGCTTGCGGTAATGTCCACACTGCTATTTTTAGCAGGCTAGTTAGAACAGAGCCAGAGCATGCCTGTCTACCCACACTGAAAGGCCTGCTCCCAGCTGCAGGGTTTATCCTGTAAGGCCAGAAGGGACCCCCAGACCATCACAGGGTAACCCATGGCAGAACGAGGAACACACTCCAGGAATCAGATCCTCCACTTGGGTAGTGTGATTGGCCATCAGAAGAGGCACCTAAAAAGATTGGGCCTCCCTGATAGAGCCTGGTGAAACTACCTGTGTAATCACAGTGCACACAGGCAGCTGACAGAGGGGCAGGTTTCCAGCGAGACAGCCGCCCCCAGTTATATGTCCAGTTTCGCTACACTTTCCAAGTTACCGACAGCGTGCTTAGCCCTCCGATGGCTCAACAAAGCCCAACAACACACTCAGCATTAGAAAAAAACCTTCAGTGAAAATAAGAGAAGGAAAAGGGCTCCTGCAATCCCACCTCTGTGTTTGCTCCATGCATGGCAAGCCAGCAGGATATGGCTAAAGAAACATAAAACGCGTGGAAAAAGCATCTTCACAGCAGTTTAATTAGTTTCTTGTTCTTTAGTCAGCTTCTGCCAAGAGAGACTGGCCAAACACAACCAAACAACACTGGCCGAATGCCGCTTTACATCCATTCCTCTGTCACACCCAGATGTAATGTCCCTGCCCAGTGTTTGAGCAGTGAGCTGCATTCCAGCCTGATGTATTTTAATTGATTTCAGCTATTGGAGCCCTTGACTTGGAGGCATGTGCAGTGCAGAGCAGATGAGCCACGTCCAATTTCAAATTAATACATTTTCCCTGTCCTTCTGAAGCTGGGAACTGACAAAGCTGTTGGATTTATTTAGGGCCCAACAAGAGACATAGCTGGCTTGGGAAGTATGTCAGATTGCTGCAAAGAAAGACATGGACTGACAACATCAGTCTGAGAGATGGGCCGATCCCAATGCAAACGTTCCAGGACCTCGGCAGCACTATGACCAGGGGTTCTGCTTCAGTGCTAGAAAGTCTAAGGTTCTGTTCCTGGCTTGGGCTCCAGCTATTCTGAGCCATTCCACGGCGGGGGGGCTCACGGGCTTTCCCATGATTACTACACAAGCAGAGGCTGAGCACAATCCCCCCCCCTCCCCTCCAGAGGGTGCTTCTAGGCCAGGCTGCATGGGAAGTGGCAGCAGGCTCAGCCCAGCAAACACAATCTCCCTCATGAGCTGTGAGAGTCCAGAAAACCAGCAGCAAAAGGCAAGGGAACACTCCACTGCACCACCCTCTTCATGGGCTTCAACCTCCTCTCACCTACCCTGCTGGAAGGAGCTGATCTGTCCCACCTAAATCAATGCCAAGATTCCCAGTGACTTCACTGGGCTTGGGACAAGGGCTAGTAGCTGAAATGCAAAGTGGTGGAAGGGAGAGAAAGCAAACAGGGTGTGACTATGACATAGTAAAGCCAGGCATATATCAAGGTGGAGTCTGTCCCAAGAAAGCAACAGTGATCCAGATTCAATTAGCATGGATTGCTGGATTTGTATAGAAAGTGGGGAGCCTGTTTCAGATTTTCACACAAGAGTTTTAATGTTGCTTTTCTACTCCCTTGAGTAAAATCTCTGCATCCAGCTCTTCGCTGGTGTAACATGGTGCAGCTCCTATGACGTCAATGGAATTGCACCAAATTACATGAGCTAATAATCTGACCTGTAGGCTTCAGACATAATTGGTTACACAGCCTTTACTCTGGTGAAGTGGTGTGACTTAGTGCTCACTCGGCTGTCTAGGGGCATAGTCTGCTCCTAACTCGTTCGATCATTGAAAAGGCAGCTAAGCATACGCTTCAGTCCTCCTCTTGCGTTAAACATAAGCATGTGCTTAATTGTTGTTCTGTACAGGGCTGATTTGCTACACTGCTTGTCCACTCAAAGCAGAGAATCGCTTCTCTCCCTCCCTCCCACTCCCTGTATTCGCCGTACAGGCAAAGCTCTGACTGGCTGTGGGTCTTTACTGAGTCACATTGTGAAAACAAAGTGACTGATCCCCACCTGAAAGAAACATGCGCTGAAGACATGAACCAGGAAGCAGAGTGCACCCAAACCCATGTGTGCAGCTAAATCCGCCCTGATTGCCGACCGGGTGCAAGAGCACGGAAGGTGAAGGCAAAACGCTAACTCCTGCGATGTTCTACATGCTACTTGTCCAGAAAACCAAGCGCAATGAGAGCTGGCCATGCTGATGTCACTTACCTCACTGTCTTCTTCCGGGGGTGGAGAGGGCTCCTTGATAATCTGGAAGGAACAAACAGAAACAGACAACCTTAAATTCATGCTTGGTTCTTTGGCATGATGCAAAAGTCACTTGAATAGAGAATGTGTCCCTGACGGCTCCTCTAATCGCAGCTGTGATGTGTGTGTGATTCCATGGTTCCGACATATGCTGACTCTGCCGGGGGAAGTAGGGGGTCTCTGTGAAACCTTGCCATGCAGTCATTTCCTAATTACAATTCCCGGTTGAATTTTATATCACCTGTATTAATGTATTAATTTTATGATCACCACCAATCAAGATATCAAGGGGGATCCAACCAGCCTTGTAACTGACACTCCAGCTTCTGATCCATGAGCAGCATTCAGCTTAAAACTCCACAGCTGGACAATAATGGGCTGGTCTGAGCTAGAGAATTAGCTGGACCCAAGGATGTTGCTCAGGGGCATGAAAAATCCCACCTCTGCGCAGTGTAGTTAAGCTGATCCAAGCTCCCATGTTGTCAGCGCTCAGCCAATGGAAGACTATGTCTGTCAACCTAACTACCCCATCTTGGGTTAACCACAGTGATGGGAGAACAGCTGTAGTGTCTACACTGCAGTGCTGCAGCAGCGCAGCTGGGCAGAAACCTATTACTGTATCACCTAAAGGCCTCAGCTGAGATCAGCACCTCACGTGCTAAGCACCGGACACAGACAGTAAGATGCTCCTTGCCTTGCAGAGCTCCCAATCTACATAGAGAAGGCAGATGGAGACTCAGAGAAATGACTTGCTTAGAGGTCAGATGCCAGGGCAGTGGCAGCAATAGAATCCAGGTCTCGTGCACTCCGGTGCAGTGCCTGGTTCACCAGACCACATTTCCTTCTCCGGGTCTGTGCCAGCTGGGCCGGCTCGCAGTCATTGCTGATTATTATTCATGCCATTGGACATGACTCTCTTGGGAGCATTTTAATAGCAAAGAGAAATTGGAGGCTCTTCTAGCGTTTCTAGCTAGTACAGCAACTGGGGTGAGGTTTGGGGCTGATCTGGTATATTCTCAAGAAAAACAAGTTGAAGTGAGACTATTATTTCATGCATGAAGTTTGCAGCTAAGACTGAGGAAATAGCTGGCTATTCTTACAGCTCTTCACTCCAAGGGCAATAGAAAGCCATCCAAAGGGACAGCTATTACATCCAGGCATGTCAAATATCTCTCCTTATCTCCATGTTCCTCCCTGGGGCATGGCTGTGGAAGTCAGTGGCCTGAATCCAACTTTGGGGTAAGCCTAGTGAGGTCAATGCAATTACACTGACCAGGGATTCATTTTGTCTGTGGCCACACATTTATCTGAGGCTACATTTAGACTACAGACGTCTTTCGAAAGTAGCTCTTCCAAAAAAAGTCTTCCAAAAGAGAGCATCCACACACAAAAATGCATTGAAAAACCCATCTGCTTTTTCAAAAGAGAGTCCATACTGCAAAAGTGCATCCAAAAAGTGATCTGCTTTTTTGAAAGAGAGCATCCAGTCTGAACGGACTCTCTCTCGCATGTAAGATTGCTATAGACGAGTGGCCGCCAGGATACCTGTGCTTTTTCTTCTTTCCTCTTCTTCCGAAAAAACTCCCTTTTCCCCATCCACACATGCCTTTCTGTGAAAGAGCACTTTCACAAAAAGGCTTCTTTCTCATAGAATGGGGATTACCAGTGCCGGAAAATCCCTCTGTTCTTTCGATTTTCTTGTGGAAGAATGCAATTGCAGTGTGGATGTTCCTCAAGTTTTGTCAGAAAAACAGCCATTTGTCCGACAAAACTCTGTAGCGTAGACATACCCTGAGGGTATGTGTACACTACCACCCTAGTTCGAACTAGGGTGGTTAATGTAGTCAATCGAAGTTGCAAATGAACTTCGTTCCACGAGGAGTAACAGTAGTTCGAATTAGAAAGCCTAATTTGAACTACCTACTCCGTGCCGCGTGTAGCCGCGGGCACGGAGTCCTAACTACCAGGGATTTAAAAATGGCGGCGCCCGGCAAGATGCAAATGAAGCCCGGGATATTTAAATCCCGGGCTTCATTTGCAACTTCGATTGACTACATTAACCACCCTAGTTCGAACTAGGGTGGTAGTGTACCGACAAAACTCTGTAGCGTAGACATACCCTGAGTCAGTGGTCCCCAACCTTTTGGAGCTGCCGGGCACCCGGGGGCGGGGCCACCCATACGGCACATGCCTGGTGCTAGTGCCACCCATGCGCTGCACTCCAGGGGCCAGGCCCTGTGCCACATGCCCAGGGGTGGGGCTGCCCATACGCCGTGCGCCGGGGCTGGAACAGCCCATATGCTGCATGCCCGGGGGTGGGGCTGCCACCACCCGTGTGCTGCATGCCCGGGGCCAGCGCCGCTCCTGTGCTGCGTGCCCAGGGGCCGGCACTGCCCACATGCCGCGTGCCCAGGGCCGGCACTGCCCACATGCCGCGTGCCCAGGGCCGGCACAGCCCTTGCACCGCACACCCAGGGCCGGGGCCACCCAAGCGCCAAGTGCCCGGGGCCGGCACTGCCCATGTGCTGTGCGCCTGGGGCCGGCGCTGCTCCTGTGCTGCATGCCCGAGGGCCGGCACCTCCCATATGCTGCGCGCCCAGAGCCAGCACAACCCTTGCACCGCGCACCCGGGGCCAGGGCCACCTAAATGCTGTGCACCCAGGGCAGGGCTGTCCATGTGCTGCACACCCGGGGCAGGGCTGTCCATGTGCTGCACACCCGGGGCAGGGCTGTCCATGTGCTGCACACCCGGGGCAGGGCTGTCCATGTGCTGCACACCCGGGGCAGGGCTGTCCATGTGCTGCACACCCGGGGCAGGGCTGTCCATGTGCTGCACACCCGGGGCAGGGCTGTCCATGTGCTGCGCACCCGGGGCAGGGCTGTCCATGTGCTGCACACCCGGGGCAGGGCTGTCCATGTGCTGCGCACCCGGGGCAGGGCTGTCCATGTGCTGCACACCCGGGGCTGAAGCTGCCCGTACGCCGTGCGCCCAGGGGCGGGGCCGGCCCTGTTCACTCTGTGGGAGCACAGAAATGGCCTGGTGGGTGCCATGGCGCCTGCGGGCACCGCATTGGGGACCACTGCCCGGAGTGAAGAAACCCTTTCTTTAAACTGTACTCAAAGGGCCAGAGTGACAAGCAAGTTGGCAATTGGCCTCAGTTTCCCTGACTTCAACACCATGCAGGACTGGGTTCTGGGCATGCGGTTTGTGACAGATGCGCTTCCATCCGGGAGTTAGTCATTTTGGAAAGTGAGACTCCACAAGCAGCTTGACTGTTTAAACAGAAAGGCTGCTGCACACGAGTCCCAGAGACATGAATGTTTATGAAAATTCTTCTTGTTCTCTGTTTTTCCTCTCCAGTGACGTCACTGTTTCTATTTTCTCTTGCAAGCCTCGAGTCATGCAATGTGGCTGTTAATGAGGAGCATGTGCTTGTGTCACAATGGTGAAAGGGGATGCTTAGGGGCATGGCTAGCCACTCGGAGCAGGAGTATCCCTGCCTCCCCTGTCCGTGGGCAGAGTACCTGCCGTTCGTTTGCTCTGCTGTAGCGTGGGCCTCCTTTGCCCAGCCTGTGGCTATGTCTCGACGGCAAGCCTCTTTCGAAAAAGAGCATCTAGACTGCAAGCAGTACTTTCGAAAAAGCAAGCCGCTTTTTCGAAAGAAAGCAGTGAGTGAGTCTGGATGCTCTCTTTCTAAAAAGCCCTGTTGGCATTCAAGAACGCCTTTTTCCGAAAGAGCACTTTCGAATAAAGGCGTTCTTCCTCGTGCAATGAGGTTTACCGCCGTCGAAAGAAAAGCCGCGTTCTTTCAATTTAATTTCAAAAGAACGTGGCTGCAGTCTAGACACAGGTGAAGTTTTTTCGAAAAAACCCCTGAGTCTGGACACAGCCTGTGTGTGTGCACTGAGCCCAAAGCAGCCCTTTGGTGCCGTGTCTAGAAGCAGAAAGGCCATTTGGAAGGAAGCAGTGACACCTGAAAAGGGTTAAAGGGAGCAGCACCCATCACTCCCGGCGACACCTGAAGGGCCAGGCTCTGGCATGAGCTAATGCCACAGTACAGGGGAGGGCGCCTAAGGAGGAATCCCGGCTCTCTTGCAGCTGGAGCTAGCAAAGGATGCAGCAAGTATAACCCAGAGGTCAGTGTGTGCTACAGTGTCCCTGATCCAAGGAGACTCTGGGTCTGTTACCGCCCCAGCAAGGGAGTCTTGTCTCTTCAGAGCCTGCTTTCTGCTCTGGAGGTTTCCGGTTCAATTTGTGGTGTGCGTGGCCTACCCGAGGTCGTGCACACAGCGACATCCCGTGAGAACCACAGTCCTTCACAAGGAAAGAATGAGTTCTGGAGGCTGAGCTAAAGGACAGCCGCAGCTGTGACCGGCTCAGAGCAGCAGGCAGGGCTGGTGTATTACACCGGCAATCTCAGCCCACACTGGCACTGTCTCAGCACAGGCTGACACGGTGTCTAACCCTGCCAGGAGCGAGGCTAATCCAAAGGCACCTGCAGATTTGAATACTGCTGGGAGCGGAGCCACTAGTGTGCGGGTGCAAGATGTGTCACATACGGGACTGGTAAACAAGGTCACAATCCCTGGAGCCAGCAAGTGTGGGAAACATGGCCATGGAGTCTAGCATAATGAAAGGGTTCCTTTGTGTGTTGGTTGAATCCTGGTTGTACTTATCTTGGTTGCGTGCAAAGCTCCAGTGCCCCAGTGTGTGGGAAACACGTGGTTTTCCCATGGGGGGGCAGCAGGTGGAACCCCATCAGGCTGCAGGCTGCTGCAGCGCCCTGAGATGGAGGAGAGCGCTCCTGCGGCCCACTTACTACTCATGGTTACCCATCGCTGTTACATAGGGTTGCCAGGTGTCCGGTGGGAATTCACCCGGACAGGCCGGTATTTTTGCCTTCTGTCCGGTAAAAAAATTCAGAGAATGTCCGGTATTTTCTGATTTTTTCCCCAGACAGGAGGCGAAAATGCCAGGCACCTGGCAACCCTACAAACACTCA